GACGCTGTGCAGTGGCGCGAACCTTGCGGCTGTTGCGGTCGCGACCAGGGCTGCACCAGCGCCGTCTAATTGTCGGCCGAGCAGTCGGCACCGCAAGCCGCTCGGGACGAATCGCTCTTCTCGGCGACGCTCCTCACGTACGGACCTCCCCGGTGGCCGCTGTCGCTCGAGCCCCGCCGTCAGTGATCCTGTCGGCGACCACTGGGCAGCGGGCGACATTCGGCAGGGGCCTCACGTCGCCTGCTGCTGTCCGATCCAGTTAGTGGCTTCAAGTTTCGACAGATGGGCCCTCTTCACTGGCCGTTTCGGCCTTCTATTTTTCTAAAAAAAAAACAAAAAAACCCGACTATACGTCGAACTTGTTTCTTTCTTGTTCACTTACGCTTCGGACTGTTGATTGCTTTTGCCTCATTGGCCTCACTCATCTTCCCACTAATTTATTGTTTTTAGCCTCTCTCAGCTGCTATACTCACGCTGGAGGGCAGCTTTATTTGAAGCGAGGACCACTCGAAGGCGTACTATCGGCTCATTAAGTGCGAGTATGAGGAAGTTAGGCGAGGACGTGCTGTTATAAGCCCCTTTGAATACCTGCATGCGTGCATGCAGGCCTGCAAATTTATTTCACTCGTGCAGGTGAAGCGATCTAGCTCCGCTTAAAATGCTGCTCACGTTTGCTCCTCGTTAAGCCGGGAACGCTTTAGAATGCAGCTTCGCCTTTTTAACGTGAATCATTGAGTCCGTCTGAAATGACATGGGACAACCTGTCCAGCCCTCCACCTGTCATGCACCATTGATCGTTCGCTTACGGCCCGCATCCTTTACGAATATTTTGGGCTTTTAACCAAGAAAACTTGATCATACGCTTATATTATAGGAGGTGTGCAACCACGACATTGCAAATATACGTTCCGAAGTCTTCATTCCTGCAGGGCTTTTACTGCCAACTAAATTTGACGTCTCCTGAGCAAATCCTTTGAAACGAATGGAAATCGGACATTTTTCGCGTTTTTATTCTTCGATCTATTGAATAAAAGTGCCCTATGCTCTCGCATTCATCCGAGGGAGTGAATGAAATCCCCGGTCAGCATGGTTAAGGTGAACTAGAAGAGGGCAGTTAACTATACTCCGCCGCTCCTCTGACGCAGTTAGCGTTGCATGTGATAGGTGGCGCCACAGGCAACTTCAATAGAAGTTTCACTTGCCGAAGCTACGCGCGATTCTTGTAATATTTTTAAAAAAATAATCTTGCTTGTATTAACTGCTATCTGACTGCTTGTGGTTTGACTTGTTTTCTTTTTTTTTCGATAAAGTTTGCTGAAAGTGCGACGCAGTTAATGATTTTCTTTTTTATTTTGGTGCGCTTGAGCTCATTGCATATTTACTATATCTTTTTAGACCACATCGTATTTGCCCCTATGTGACACCTCGCGGAAAAAGGCAAACATGCGGTTTCATTCCGTGCAAGCCTTTTGTGCCTAAATTTCGCCTTCCCCTCGGAATTAAATAATAGAACATGCCCGCCTAGAACACGGTTTCTTTCCGCGTTCTATACGCCCGTTTTGATTTTTCGGGACGCCTAACAGCGACAGCTTCGAATCGTCCTTCACGTACACGTAGTCTGTTTGGCACTTAGACGCATGACACTGGTTTTTCTGACGTTGCAGCGTGGAACAGGCATAAAAGGCACACGAATTTAATGCATACTGCATGTGGCTAGGCTAAATGCTTCCCCCCCCCCCCCCCAAAAAAAAAAGAAAAACTTGGCGCTACAACGTTTACCGCAATAAAACGTGGCTTAACTGCTGTTCTGAAAGAGCTGACCGGCTTTTTCAGCCGCAACGCGTCTTCAAGGTTTTATTGATGATGATGCCAGCGCCGCTGCCCGGGCGAAGAGAGAAACACAAATCGGCAACGTTTGTGGAGCCACCCCACCACATGGCCTCCGCCGCGGAGAGTGAGCCCACTGCCCTCTACACTGTAGCATGTTTATCACTTTATCTGGGTGTTTCTTCTGTTTTTTTTTTCTTTTTTCTGGAGGAGAATTTGTTTGTTTTTTGGTGTCGATAATATTGCTCATCTTATATTCCTCTCAATATAAATGAAACCGTGACCATGAAGAAATGCTTTTTCATCATCTTTATCAAGTTTTGTCTTTGATACCCGCATGCAAGGAGTCTGAAACATCAGAAAGCGAAGAACGGGTCGTGAACATTTTCTCACGTTGAATTGACGCGCATTCGCATAGAGTGCTAGCCGCCTCCACACTTGGCACAGAGGCGAATCGCCGTATCCCTGATCGGCGACAATGAAAGGAATAAGGTGTGGATGTTTATAAAAAAAAAACGGAGAAGAAGCTGGGTGTCTCCAGTGGTGCCATACCAACGCCTCCGCCACCTCGGGTAAACGCTATACCGTCGGAAAAAGACCGCGCGCCGATACACAGGGCTGTCGAGGGCGCTAGAATCACTCACTCCGTCTTCACCGTGCGTGGTCTGCGCCTCCATCACCTTGCTGTACGCGAGGCGAGGAAGTCGTTCACAGCGACCCAGTCGCAGCTCACCATCTCTGCGCAGAGACGGCTGGCTTGCTCGGATATTTTCATAAGCGAGCTGCCGGCTATTGACACTCGAGATATCCGCGCCCGCCTCCGTGGATATATGGGCGCGCCGAAGGAGTCGCCCAGGGTGAGCCGATGTTTATAGGCGAGCCACGGAAAAAAAAAGAAATAATACGAAGTGGCTAAAGAGAGACGCAAACCTACAGAAGGTCTGTCGCGCCCATGCAACAGTGACGACGACGCTCATGGCGAGGCAGTGCAGGGCGAATGTACTTACATGCGCGAGCCCTTCTTTTCGAGTTCTATATTTAGTAAGATCGCTGGGTACTGCAGATCGTAGGACGTCCCGTCGCAGTCGCCTGTGGCGGTCCCACGGCGGGGGCCCTTAAGGCACCGCCGGCTCCGATGGCGCGACTCAGTTTGTCGATGTTCGAAGCCACTGCACGGTTTTCCCCCTTCCTCTCGCCGCGACTTCTCTTTCGCGTGCTCTTCGCTTCGTCCTGGATGCAGCGCCCTGCGAGCGCGTAGCCGGGACCCACACGTCGGATTCCGGTGGGGCCCGCATTTCTCAAGCCGCGTAATAAACGACCTCCAGCGCCCCGCCTCGTGTTATCCGCGGATAAAACAGGGGCGCGACGAGTGAACGCTGCTCGTCCCCGGAGAAGCCGGCGCAAAAGAGATTAAGAACAAATAAAGAGACAGCAAAACGCTCGCTCGAACTGGAGGTGAGCCGTCGCATTACATCTCCGCCATCGTTCCGTGAAAGTAGCTCGCTGAATAAAGGAAGGGGTATACACGCAGATCACCCACGACGACGACGTCGTATTCATGCCGCAGAGCTCTTGTCGCAAAAGCGGACCACTCGGGTCTCGGCGATCAGCTCGTAAACTGTGCAAAACGTGAGCCCACCTGCGCGAGTTATTTGAACATGCTAATCTAATCAGATAGCGTCAGTTACCCGCAAGAAAGATGCCGATGCACTGTACACGAACGGCTCGAAAGCGAGGCGGTTTTGTTTCTATGTATCAGCAGGCGTAGAGCAATGATCTTCGACGAGCCCTACCTACCGCGATATTCAAGCCTTGTACGCTGCTTTCTGACCTTCATGTCAGTGGAGACGCCCTCTGCACTGATTGGGAGAAAGGATGTAGCCTACCGCAGTGACCATCTCGGGCTGTCTGAGTTTTTGTTGAAAGTTTCGACTCTTCCGGCGATGCATACTATTGTAGAAAAACGTGACGCTATGGTGTCACATACTTACTGGTTGATCCATGCGTAAACTTCCTTTCGTGTGTGCTTTTCTTTTTCAAATGCGCACTCTTGGAACATTTCTGTTTTTTTTTTAATGAGGCATTATTTTGTTGTTTAAAGAGCGTTATTTGACAAAGTACACAAGTGTATGCACTTACATGGCAAAAAAAAAAAATCCTGAGACTTGATTCCTTTGCTTTCGGCATTGTCTATTCGGTGGGACAAGAACTCATGTGTCATTCCATGCCACAGGTCTCAGCCATATTGGCGACCATCTCAAATGTATTTGAAAAAAAAAAAAACGTTGTTCTGATTTACTGCTTTCAAAAAGTGAAACTAGAATCTTTCGGAGATAAACAAAATTGGTTACATGGCTGCCTTTTTTAACTTTCCGGAATGCCGTTTGGGTGTTGTTTGCGGAAAAAAATTTCTTTTAGTACCACTTCTTTGTTTATACCGAATTTGGTCTACATATAAATCAAAGGTTTTTGTGTAAGTTGTTTGAAGCTCAGTAATATTAGTGCGATTTAGTGCCAAAATGGTTGGGGCGTTTCGCGTGGAATGATTCTTATGTGAAGTGAAGTGAGACCTCTTGAGAGGATGCACCTAGGTGATTTGTCGAAGAAAGCTTCTGCAGGTCTTATTGGAAACTCATGAGCAGATTGAGTGTGTGTGCTTATCTGTGATTGTACTAGCCGTTTGAATGCTTGCTTAATGACTGTGTACATATCGTTCCGCGTTCTACGATTGTGATAACATGTCGCTGCCTTCAGCCAGGTTATGGCATTCGCAGTTTGTCCTAAAATTCAGCATCTGGTTTCCTACCTATTCGTTCCGTGCAAGGAAAGCTTATTTGATATTTCATTACTTCGGTTTTCTCGGCATGGTATGCAAATAAAGTTAAACGACCTTGTTTAACTACATAACGTTCCACGGTGTTCGTTTAAAACTGACTTGCCGGTGGGAATACCTTATAAAGCGCCGTGTTAACACATTTATGAATGCTTTCCCTTGATCGAGTCTCCTACGTGTTAGCGTATTTCCGTTAGCCCACTTGTCATTGCTCTATCACAGAGTTTTCCTACTTAGTCCTTCCATTATTATTGAAATAAGGAAATCGGGTTGCACTCCGGACATTTCGCATAGACCAGACAATATGACTTACCCTCTACTGATGTTGTTCCTCTTTCAGGAGGCCCCTCACGATGGAGTGTCGCTGCCCGTCACGTGGCCACCGATGACGTGAAGCAAGCACGACGAAGCTGACGCGTGCGTAACGGGACAGCGATGGCGTCGTCTCCGCGGCGAGCACGATGGCCACTACTGCTCTCTCTCTGCGTCTACGCAGTTCTTCTGCCGGCCAGCAGGGCCTTCGACTGGGGTAAGTACCGCACGAAGCGCAGCTTTTCCCACGCGTTGCCTCGGGAGACGCGTGGCAGAAACATGCGAGTGCAATGGGCAGCGCAGGTTTCTTCACGGCTCTCTCGCGCGTTCTTCGCGTTTTGTATGCATCGTCAGTATGTTCAAGTGGTTCATCAGTATGTTGAGGTTAAACAGACAGAGCACGCACACACGGAACCAAGGGAGAAGACAAGGCACCACGAACCAGACTAACATGAATACCTACGAACAATCTCAGCGCTTTGTTATTCTGATTGTGTCTTTTTTCCGACTGAGGTGCCGGGATAGGTTATCTCAAACGAGCCACCATATAAAAATTTGTCTGCATATAGTTATTTTCTTTTCCTGATATCTCGTACCATTAATTCAATTCTATCGGCCATTGATGCGTTTCGTGTCATCAGTGTGACCGAACGAGTTATAGGCACAGAGGAAGATGAAAGAGGGTGAACGCGGAGCGTTGCAGAGAATTAACCAGCGACAGCGACGAAAGCGAGTCGAGGAACGCTGGGGAAGGTGCAGAGGAAGGATGAGGGGAAAAGCGGAGGAAGAATAAAGTGACTGAGGGAACGCAGCGCCACTTGACCGTTAACGGGCATACTGCTAAAATAGCGCGCCGTACGTATACAGTCAGCTAACCGATGTCTTCATCAGAATCATTTGCGGTGAGCGTGTCCGCTGATAGCGCAACTGGAAACGAAGCAGCGCTTGCGTCTGTCTCCGACGAACTCCTGTGAAACGCGCCCATGCACACACCAACTCAATGTGCCGCGCAACACATTCTCTGAGCCAGCTACGATAACAGCATCATCCTCTTAATAATCTACAGAACTGCCTGAACCAGTTTCTTTTTTTTTCTTTCAATTATTAAACGACACCAGTGGTTCACGCGCTCGCTGTGTCGCTGCTGTTGAAAAAGCTGTGCGATGCGTCCCTCAGAGACAACGACCCCAGAACCCAGAGGTCGGCACAACCAAAACAATATTTGTCCTCATATGTCGCAAAATCAAAACATTTAGACAGCTCTGCTCAATGTTTGTAAATTTAGTAATCGTCGGTTATATATTTATGTGTGCTTTACTATTACGTATCTGGGACCTGTCATTTCGTTATTTGTTTAGTTCCTTTCTATTTCCTTTTTTGATGGTTATCTTAATCCTCGATTTCCGTCCCTTCCGCCCTATAGTGTAGTCAAGCGTATATCGTCTCTCTTGGTCGCACTTGTCAGCATGCGTCCTCCATGTTTTTCTCTTCGTCATGTGCATCTGCGTGTTTTATATCAAATACTAATAATAACAATACAGTCGTACGTACCTTCAATGGCGTTCCCGTATGCACGCATTCTAGATAGTCGTGGGAGAATAACGATTCTTGATTTATTAAGTTAACTAGATGAACCAACTGATATCTGAACTATACGCTGCTGAACAACAACAACAACAACAACAACAACAACAACAACAACAACAACAACAACAATAATAATAATAATAATAATAATAATAATAATAATAATAAGCTCAACGAGCCGAAACCACAATCTCAAACATGAAGCACGCCGTAGTGCACTTCGGGTAATTTTGAATATGTAGAACGCGGGAATTTCCCCTCCATCGAAATGTGAGCGCCACGGCGGGATCGAACCCGCCTGTTTCGTTAAGGCGAGCAGTCCAACACCGTATATACACACCATTGCATCACAACGGTGGCGATGTGCAACATCACGCGCAAACATTTCAACTTGTCGCCAAGTGATACGTAAACGGTAGGAATCACTCCACTGATTCGTGGGGTATTCACGTTGCGCGCTGTTCATCAATCCCGCGGGCTAAGAGGGGCTCATGGATGTATATACGTCATGCACACGCGCACTCTTAGTTTTATTCGATTTTTAGTTACTACGAAAACGTAATTTATTGTGACGCCTAAATAATAAATAAATAAATAAATAAATAAATAAATAAATAAATAAATAAATATTCAAACTTATTAGAATGAAGTGCGTGTTTGGCGAGTATATTGGGGTTGTCCTGGCCAGCGTCTGTGAAAGAAAGACAAATTTTCGCACGATCTATGGTTAAATTAGGTAAATCTCTGCGACAAACGTGACGAGAAGTTTGGCCGGTCGCAACCAAGGTCGTTATCTACACCACCAGCTTATGTAGCGGTCGTCAGCTGTCTCGCGGTCGAGTCGCCACGGATGCGGTTTAAAATTTCAGCCTGTGACAGCCGCTCTTTCGAGCGCGCTGCCGCGAAAGAAGCCCCGCGGGCCGCACGTCTTAGTCACCGCACAGATTACAACAATATGCATGCAACTCTTCGCCAGGCTCCGCGGAAACTTGATCGCGGCTAATTGTATAAGCAGCCCCCCACTTCGCTTGCGAGGTTGCCCCTTCCCGCTCGCTCTGTCAGTGCGTCATTTTGTTATCGTCCGTTAGCATCGAGCTTAGAAGCGATCATCAGCCGCGGCTGATGTTTGCGCCGTTTATGCCACGCGGAGAAGGCGGTGCGACGCCTAACTTCTCGGAAGGCTCCACGATAGGATCGCTCCGTGGGTTCGCCCCGGCGCATCGCGGGGCACATGGGCTGAGACTTTTTGGACATCGGGCGCACGGCTGCGGGCCCTTCCCGTGAGAAAAAGAACGCTCACTGCCCACGCTCGGTACCAAGAAATAAGCCACGCCATTCGGTGGCTTGCAAAATGAAGGAAGCCGCCTTGACGCTACAGTGTCTGAATATATACGCTGTAGGATGTAACGAGTTCAAATATAGAGCGATCAAGGCTGTGCAGGAGGATTCTAAATCTAGCATTCGTTCGCTAGCGTACATGCGTTTCTGTGCATCCGTGGATGCGTGAGTTGGTACCGGTACACAAATAGCTATTCCATAGAATTCCCATACGTTGCGATTTCCGCGAAGCGAGGGGCGCGCAGGGTTTCTGTCGACGCTTCTCGACCAGCCTTACTCGTAGTTTTTCATATTCAGCCGAAACTTGACAGCGGTTCCTAATAAGTTAATTAGGTTGATTAGCTCATAATAGTAGCGGTTTCTAATAGCGCAAACTTTCATAAATCAGGGATTGAGCTCCATAGAAAGAGCGACACTGGCTCATAAATCATAGTACACAGTCGTACATAGTCAGTTGTTATTGTTAAGGTGTTTTGGAATGTGCTGGGAAAGTTTTTTCTACTGCGCTTAAGATAAGGGGAATACCAGGGATATTCATTTTTAGCAATAGAGGCCTGAAAGCAACGCAGGGGTGATAAATGTTGTCGGAGGGAAAGGCTTATGATTATCACCTACACTTCTTGAAAGTTTAGTTGTACCTTATAATTTAAGATTTACTATAGGCACAGTTATACATCTACTTACCGACACATTTCTGCGGCTGGGAAGCAGGGCTCGTATTCATAAAAATCTTATGCTGAAATTGCTCATAATAGACTATTTCAGCTACTCACGATGCTTAACATTAGCAAAGCCCATCAGGAATACTCTTTTTTTGCCCTAATTGGTATAGCTTACTCTACGACATTACTTCTGGTAAAGACAACACGCCAAGGTGTGAATACGTTGCCTGCATGTCACCGTGTTCGTGCTTTATAGCAGCGGGAAAACATCATACACAACGCCGATCAGCCAATGGTGAAATGCACCTACGAAAAAAAACATTTGTGAGTTTCGACCCCTAGTTGTTAACGTCGTCTCTAAATTATTACTCGCCGACCGAGGCACGAAAGCAGCTTAACCTCTTTCATCCGGGGTGCCATAAAGACTCCCAGAATATGTCAGCACAGCGATATTCTCTCGTTTTGGGGCAACTAATTGCGAACTTATTGAAGCACTTACATAAATGTCGTAGTGTACATCGTATACCGACTGGTTTAACTGTCACAGTGATTTCCCGGGCGCAATTATTCCATTGACCATGGCATTGCGACAAATGGCATTGTGAGGTGCGATACAGAAAAAGGGACAATGTCATTTACAGTGCCACAGCCAGAGCAACTATGAGTACAGAATGGTTTGTGCACTAAAGTTTTCTCGCATGTAGTCAAACACTGACCCATTTGAACTGCAAACAATATTAGTGCGTTCTTCTTTGGGAATGAAATGCTGTGTGGAAAACAGTTTTTGGAAACGAAATGCTGTGTGGATCTTATGACAAGATTCATGTTGCCAAGATTATTCGCGGGTTTTTTTTTTTGTCGGCAGTTTATTTTTATTAAATGATGAGCGCACATTCTTGCAAAAGGAATACCTAATAAATGCGCATGAAAATTTAACTTATACAGTCATACAAACCAGTTTTGCCTCGAGATTATCGACATTTTTTTCCATGTTACTACTTATTTTTGCCCATGTAGCGTTTATTTGCTTGCTTTCCTTTTTTGTTTTCCCTTTCTTACCCCTCATCTTCTTTTCATCTGTGTTGTCGTGTGTGGTTTGTGTATCCAGACATAATAATAATAATAATAATAATAATAATAATAATAATGATAATAATAATAATAATAATAATAATATAAAATAAATTCCTTGAGCAGTACCTTCACTGTTTGAAAGGATGTCGTAACTCATCAAATAACCGAGCTGTTTACAGTACAGACGGAAAGCTCCATGACTGTACGAGAAATAAGGCGGTACACCTTTCTCTGTCGTCTACCTCCAACGGGTTCACTAGATAATGGTGACACTTAAAGACGGATCGTGTTTATCATTATGCATCTGCCATCAGATACTGGGAGCTCAAATAAAAAAAGCGCTCAATTGCTAAAAAAAAAGCACGTTGCGAGGCCGCAAAGAAGCCTTTTTAATTGCTAATAAGTGATTTCCGTGTTTCTTGTACTCCACAGATAATAAACGTGACTTTCTTTCTAAATTTTGGCCGCACGCCACTCGTATCTAGTGGATCTGCCTTCATACAGTGTGAGTAGCACAAAAATAGCAATATATAAATAAAGAGATCCCGAATATGAC